GCCCGGGAAAGAAAGGAATTCTATCGCCCGGCGGATAAAGAAACTTTTCGTTTTGTGCCATGTTAACAAATATTATTAATGTAAGATTACCCAAAAAAAAAAAAAAAGAGTTAAATAATATAAACAAGATTATTTTATACCTTATTTAGAAACTATTGTGATTATCGGGTTGGAATAAGGTAGTAGCATAAAGTTGTAGACCGAAGTTGGAGTAAGGTAATAAGTTATAAATACAGTATATTTTAGTTATACAAAGTAAATATAATTTAGCTTAGTAATAAATTATATAAAATTTAATGTATATAATTAATTATATTAATGTAGTAATATTAATAATAATTAATAAAAGATACTGCTACGGCATATTGAAAAAAATGTTTTCAAGTATATTTTATTCTAAATATTTTCTTTAAAAAATTAAATAGGTAATTACAGTATATACTGTATAATAAACTTTAAATAAATCTAGTTTATTTTTTGTCAAAAATATTTAAAAAATATTCCAAAGATGTCTGATAACAACATGTTTCAAAATACTATTCAAGGTTGCTTGAATAAATCCACGATACTATATAGTAGGCTTTGAAAGTTACCTGTATTATTGCAGAATATTGAGTAACGAATCGGATAAATCATATAATTTTACAAAAAACTAGTTTTCGAAAATCCTGCTAATCTGGAGTTTTGGCCAAATTTTCTGAATAATCAATTCAAAATACCAAAAATTTTGTTTATAAAACCATTCTTCCTAAAAAAACTGTTATAAAGTATGGTATAATCTAACCTTTAATTTTGCAAAATCATCAATTACAGTATAATTTTGGCTAAAAGGTCATATATTCATCACGCGAGAGTGACAAGAGATGCTGCTTCACCGTATTTATGTATGATGTACAGTGCATGTAACATAAGTTACATGCATTTTATTGTTTGCTTTTCCACAATTGGAAGTGAACTGCTGTACAAGAAAAATATAAAATAAGAGTAGTTCGAATTCTCATCATTAATATAATGGAATAATCTCTTTTTTTTTTTTTTGGATAATCTTACATTAATAATATTTGTTAACATGGCACAAAACGAAAAGTTTCTTTATCGGCAGGGCGATAGAATTCTTTGTTTTCACGGGCCTATGATATATGAGGCCAAGGTAAGTTTAAGTTAAAGCGCCGCTGAACTAAAAATTTCACATTATATAAATGTGATCATGTAAATCTTTCATCGTAATTTATTGCCAGATTTTAGACAAAGATTATCAACATCCAAAATCAGGAGATTCAGGACCACATTATTTAATACACTATAAAGGATGGAAAAATACGTAAGAAGTTACAGATTTTTTATTCATCCGAACTATGTAAATATTTGAAATTTATTCATTAAACTTAATGAAATTTAAAAGTTGGGATGAGTGGGTAGCTGAAGATAGAGTATTACCAATCAACGAAGCCAATTTAAGTAGACAAAAACAAATTGAAGAATCTATGACAAAGAAGAATAAACCATCAGCAAAGAAAATTGTGCAAGATTCTTCAGCGGAAAAGGGAAAAAAGCGGAAAAGAGATATTTCCTTAGATAAAGTAATGAATTCAGTTATTTTTATTTTTATTGACAACTTTTGTTATTCATTTATTATTATTATTAAATTATCATTATTGCTAATCAAAATACAAAAAAAATTATATATAATGGAACTTTCACTAATAGGATGAACTCATTAAGAAGCCTAAGATTATAATTTATATACCTGAACAACTTAGGATACTTTTAGTACAGGATTGGGAAAACATAAACAAGTCACAAATGGTACAAATTTTTTATATTTGAATTAAGAAGTCATAATAAATTTTTTTAATTAACCAACTTTTTGCATAAGTGGGTACCGTTGCCACGTAAACCTTCAGTGACTGATATAATAAACAATTATAAATCTTGGAAAATTGAAAAAAGTAAAGACAGTGACGGTATTGATGAAGAAGTTAATAAAGGCGTATGTTTTTATTTTAACAAATGCTTGGGAACTCGGCTTTTGTATCAATCTGAAAGAAATCAATACAAAGAAATTCGATCTAAATTTGAAAATTTGGAAAATGCCCAAATTTATGGAGCTGAACATTTATTAAGATTATTTGGTAAATGATTACAGTGTTAGTATAATTTATTATATTTTAAAGCTTATGGTATCAACTTTCCCTTTAGTTATTCTCCCAAAATTAATATCAAATACGAATATTGGCGAGAATACATTGAATGTTTTGAAAGAACATTTATCTGATTTATTAAAGTATCTTGATTTCCTTTTTTTTTTTTTTTTTTGATTTTGATTTTGTTAATCCTTTAACTGTTAATAACATGTTAATAACTATATTATTATTATTATTATTATTATCATTACAGTCATATTAATGAATGTCAGAAAGACTATTTTGTTGACGAATATCAAAAAATTCAATAATAATCATTTTTGATATTATATAAAAATGAATTGGCTGGCAAATTTAATTCTAAAAATGTATTAATCATCTACGTATATGTGTACAATTACAGTGTATAACTTTTTTTAGAATTTAGATTTCATTTTTATTTATGTGTCATTTTGGCTATATTAGATTGTTAATTAATATATCACAAGTAGAAAATTAAATTTCTATATATCTTTTCAACCATAATAATTTCATGCGAAGTATATGATAACAAGTAGAACGGAAATACCTGAATTTGTATGCAAAAATATTCATGATCAAAATTTAAGCAAATATATCAATCTGAGGATTAGTGTCTAATAAAGAAGTTTGTTTTTTTCGAATGAATAATATGACAAAAGGTGATGTCTAGTACAGTAGTAATGGCATGCACATCATCTAATTTTCTTTGAATGTTCAGGAAGTTGAATTAGAAAAAGAATCGGTTTATTCAGATTTTGATCTCATAATTTCAGAAAAGGAAGCACGTTATTTCGATTGTAGAAATTCAGTTTCATGATTGAAAAGAAATTAACATGTTGATACAGTATCTTTAATTTTTTGTTTGAAAAAAAAAAATTTATTTTCATAGTTTTCAAGGCTTTGAACTAAATCAAAATGGAATATGAATAATGACGCCAATGAAAAACCTGGAATTTTATTTAATAAGAATTCCAAGTTCTCCCTTGGTGACGCTCATTTTTCAAGCCTGATGGTTTCAAATAACTATAATAATTTAAATAATATTGCTACTAGTTGTAAAATGGCAAAGTTCTATCATTCTACTAACTTGATACAAGATCTTTCATATTTATCACAAAGCCACCAAATTAAATCTTTTTTTTTTTTTATTCTCAATATTATGTACAGCAGTAATTAATTTTTTCTACTTTGATAAAATTTTTTGCGACTATTAATTGATCATATACAGTTCAACCAAAAAAATTTTAAAACTTATCTAAATATTGTATCATGGCTATTACCAGTTATTACAATTATAAATCAGTATTTTTTTTTTTTTGACTAACAATGACAATAGATTCACAAGGATCATTTACAAGATGACCTTCTCAAACAACTCAATTACCTTCTTATCCATCAAATAATATATAGTTATTGAATGCGTAGCAGACAATAACGAGAATTATTTGTAAAATAATTCATTAGGAGTTATTGGCTAGCGTAGCATACAATAACGGTTTTATCCGATGGCTTACGACGATTGTGCTTCTAAATGACTCGAGTTTTGGTAGTGATTACATAAACTGCCAAATAACGAAGTTATTTGGCAGATGACGTATCACTGCCAAATAACTCGAGTTATTTTGGCAGCACTATAATAGTAAGCTATCGGATAATATTGCATATTCTATATCTCATACCATATCAACAACCGAAATTTTCTGATCTTTTAAATGTTTACTACGCGTATTCAGAATGGTATCAACGGTTATGATGGAAGTCCGTCAATAATTTCATTAATTGAATCATAGGTCGTGAATGGGAATATCAAAATTTAGAAAGATTTGAAGAAAATTATTAATTAATGAAATTAAATATCGTGAAAAACAAAACGGATGGTAATATTCAAGAAGTTTTAAACCAATTGGAAAATTTAAGGGATGGAATGTCTATGGAAAATTTGGTATAGCGTCTGTCAACTGATATTACTGGTGTAGTAGAAGTATTATGTTGAGAAAAAACCTGGTGTGATAAAATCTTTGGTTGGTTTCTTTTATTTCATTAAAAAACGTGTTAATAATTATTGTACGTATGCATTTCTTTAATCAAACTCATAAAGATCTTATTGATTGAATTTATAATAAAGCCATGCGAAATTAATTACAGCTGTTTTCAAAAAGGTGTAGCCAGGTGCGCACCATTATATCATGAGAAATCTGCACGATTTTCCTGATTTCCCTTTGATTCCCTTTGATTTCCCTTATTCGAAATCGGGAAATCGTGGTGTATGTCTGGTTACACCTTTTTGAAAACAGCTATAATTGGTTCTCATAACCCGGTCGGGTCAAAATTTGAAAACTTTTACAGCTGTTTTCATAATTTTCTGAAACACCTAAATTTGCCGAGTAATTTTTCGGCCGGGCCGATCAAATTAATGATCAGTATATAAAAGTCTTGAATACATGTTTTACAGATCGTTAGAACGTCAACATACTCAATATTATTGAATTTTCGCCCGAATGTATATCCTGGTGTGTTTAGTTTGTATGAAAATAGAGTTCCTATCCATTATCCGTTTATCCATTTATCTATTGGATATCCAGAACTGAATTTATTCAGATATCCGTT